ACATATCGAAAAATAGCGAAATACTTACGTTAACGTTAACTTTCGAAGGTTTTCACTAGAAAAAATTTCCTGATGAACAATACAGAAATCATTTTGTCTTTTCTATTATTCTCTACTCTGACTAGGGTTAATTCAGTTTTGCTCTAATGGCTTTTTTTACAAATTCAATTTTTTCGCCTGCTGATTTTTCAGGAATTTTTTCAGTGCGAGTTCAAATTTTAAATTTTTTTGCATTGAAATCTTGTCTCCAGTCGGAATGAAAACTATTATCAGTCTCATATGATAATACTGATTCTTTATCTTCTTCTATTACTTCAGGATCTATTACTGTATTGTCTATGTTTTTTGCCTTTTTCTTTTTATTTGTTACTTCGGTCCATTCATTCCCATTATTTTTTTCGATATCAATTGTCAATTCTTCATAGTCGATTTGTTTTCCTTTACCTTTATCGTTGTCATTATTAATTATTACTTCGGGTTGCTCTATCGTGACCGTAACTTCCATATCTTTGATATCACTGTTGTTTTTAATGTTACTTTTTATATTTGTTGGTTCTTTTAAAATAAAAGATGCCGCTATTTTGTTCACTTTTTTAATGGGATTGTTTCTTTGATTTTTTAATTGTATTTGTATATTTGATTGTGAAGTCAACTGGATTCTTGTTGACCTCCTTGGGAGGTCACTGGTTGAGCTATCGCTCATTGTGCGAGGTTTCTGAGCTTTTAATTAAAAATAAAACAATTTTAATATAATATTACTGCATATTTTGTATTACAAAATAATTTGGGAAAGAGTTTTTTTTTTTTTTTTAAAGTATTTCAAATTTATAAAAATACCAAATTTCAAATACCTATATTGTGATTATTATTTTTCATCTCGACAAGTATATACTCAATATATTAATAAAACTTATGATGATATAAATGATACATCACTTGATAACAAAGATTTTAATCAAATTAATCAAATTAATCAAATTGAAGAATTGCAAATTGTTTAGGAAGAAAGTTTACTATCTATAACTAACAAGTATAAAGATCAAAATATGTCACCTATCAGAAATTTTTTTTTAGTAAATACCTTCAAAAGTTAATGTTAACATAAGTATTTTGCTATTTTTCAATATGTTATCCTTCGAAGGTCTTTGTTAACCTTTGAAAGTTATCGATTTTAATATTTTTACATGGTGAAATTTTGTGAATATTATCATTTTTATAATAAATTTATATTGATAATTTTTGAAGATTATCAATTTTGATATTTTCATGTATGAAATTTTATGAATATTATTGTTTTCATAGTAAATTCATATTGATAGCCTTTGAAGATTATTGATTTTGATATCTTTATGTACAAAATTTTGCAAATATTATCATTTTTGTAGTAATTTCATATCAATAACTTTTGTTTATGTTAGATATTCATAATATATCATTTCGATAGTTATCACTTATATTTATATTACTGTGATTTTTAATTGATATTATATTGTCAACGATATCCTTTGAAGTTTATTGCAACAATTTTAATTGATATTGTATTGTTAACAATGTCTTTCGAAGTTTATCACAATAATTTTAATTGATATTACATTGTCAACGATATCCTTCGAAGTTTATTACAGTAATTTTAATTGACATTGTACTGTCAACGATATCCTTCAAAGTTTATCACAACAATTTTAATTGACATTGTATTGTTAACAATATCTTTTGAAGTTTATCACAACAATTTTAATTGATATTGCACTGTCAACGATATTCTTCGAAGTTTATCGCAACAATTTTAATTGACATTACACTGTTAATAATATCTTTTGAAGTTTATCGTGACAATTTTAATCAATATTACACTGTCAATGATATCCTTTAGAAATTTATCACAACAATTAAGGTTAGTATTTATATTTACTGAACCTAATTATATTATTATTATAATTTTATTAGACATCATATTGATTCAAAGTTTATTAATATTAATATATTTCTGAAATCTTTGATGATTTAATATATTATAGTTAAAGATTTTCAAAATAACTAGACAATGATTACTGTCATACCAACAAGTGAACAAGGGTCTGAAGGATAACTAATATTCTTTAACTAAACTAACTTAAACTATTTAAATAATACTCAGAATTTCTTGAGGATCACTAAGATCAACTCAATTCGATTATTTAATAGTGAATTTGAAGAAATATTACAAGGTGAGTTCTTTATTGTGTGAGGTTTTAGCATATCAAATTAGCTTGTTCGCTTAATAAGATATATATGCTAAAGAGTATTTATATAAGATTAACTCAGGTTTTATTAAGAATTACATAACAAATTAACAAATTAAAGATTTAATAAGGATATTTAATACGATATTTTTTTTTTGTTCCAACGAGATCTTGCCTCAAATTTATTAATTAGAAAAAGAAAAAGTCTTTTATATTATATAAGATTACATAATATAAAATACACAACTTATTCTAATGTTTGTTAGAAAAGATGAAACTCAGACTAACTCATGAGAGACGGGCCCACAACTTACCACCTGGGATATTTAATACGATATAACTTTATTAATAAATATAATAATAAATATAAAAATAAAATATAATATAAAAATAGAAAT